GTGGGAGATAATCCTGTACAATCGGCCACGGCTCTGCTAGCACATTAAGCTTTCCTCGTACATAGTGTACGACGAAATGAAACTGTTGCCACCTTTCCGACATAGGGTCAGCGTCCATATGATCAGATGGTCCGAATAGTCGCCAGGCACTCCTTTTCCGTGGCCGAATAGTTGATCTCTGCCCTCAGGTGTTTTTGACTGGGGTACGCAATTACCCGCTCAATCTCTGGATTGCTAACACCTTTGCGAGATCCGTGCGGTTTCCCTCGTCGCATAAGTATACCGGCTCCTTTTGAAAGAAACAGCATTTCCCCTAGTTCAGCCTCAGGTTAATCTCTCTCAGACGGGGCACGGGGAGCAAGTCCACGTTGACCTGTGCTCATGGGTAATACTACAGATTTATGGGCTGTGATCGTTGCCATGTACGTTGCAAAATTTTTTTAAAGGGCTTACTGGTTCTGGGCTGCTTTCGCGTTAACGCGCATCCCATCTAACTCTGGGCCAATTGTCTACAGCATTCCTAGCTGCTCAAGCCTCTGGTATCGCGCTGCGCACAGAATATGGCCCGCGGGCTGGATAACATACCTGACCGATATTCCTGTTGGCCAATTCTCCCGTTGCATCGGCAACGACCCGGAGATTAGTCCGTCGGAAGTCATTCCGACTTACGTTTCTCGCACCCCACATGTCGCGAGCCCAGCGAATACCGCTGAAGACGTGAATGTTGCGCTTTCGTCGTGTTCTTGTACAACCTGCTAAGTCCCCTTTCCTGGTTGAAGCCGCTATGCTGCATTAAATCACTCGTCGATGACGAGCCCAGACCTCTAGTAGTTCAAAATAGTGCGACGGTTAAAATAACTTTAAAAAGCCCACCCTTAACGTGACGCGATGCGTCGTACAGCCCGCTTTTGTCCCAAACCATCGCGCAGCCACCAAGCATAAACCCACTCATCCCCCTTGTTATCAGGTTCTAGTCAATGTCAAACGATTTTGACTGATCCCCGAGGTCTTCGAAGAAAAAAACGCAGGCAGCCTACACGTCGAATCGTAGTCGTCAAATTTGGACCTCTTCCGGTGCGATGATGTGTCCTCTCGCCTCGGTTAGTGGACGGGTTATACCCCCCGGGCAACCTCCGCGAGGTAAGACCGGCAACTTTAGTCGCACCTGCAGCGGTATTAGAGCAAGCCGGGGACGCTTAAGCGAGGACTAGCGTCCAACTCGTCTGTGCTATTTAACCGCTCCTTTTTGAACACCAGCTCCGTGAAGAAATAACAGGATTCATCACTCATTATTCCTACACAACTCTTTGCGTTTATTATATGAAGATTACAATCGATTTTTGTTACTCTCTAATAAGAAATGTACTGTAGGCTACCTTCAGGAATTCAGTGACCATTCCCAACTATGAGTTGGGGCATTGGGTCGATGATTTCCCATCCCTATCACTTTATCCTACTTAAAACTGTTTGTCCTGAGTGATTGATTGACTAATTGGTGATCAACACATAGACTAAACGGAAAAATCTACGAAGCTAAAATGTTTGCTGCTTTCATTTTATACCTATCGCCACCTCCCCGCTACCACCACAGAGCTATAAATCAAGTTAATAACCCAACTTTTATTGATAACAATAATATTGGTTATTTGAAGCATAGTCGTACTGTTCAGGTACTTGAGGACCTATGTTCAACTGTTTAGCTGTTATAGGTTCTGAGACGGACAAACGGACAGATGGACGAACGGACGGACATGGCAAAATTGACAAGGCTATTGATGGTAATCAATAAGATATATACTTTATGGAATGGGATATGCTTCCTTCTGCCTTTTACAGACGTTGAGTTAATATGTTATACCCGTTTTACCCATTTAAATGGGTTAATGGTATAAAAATGGTCGAAAACGACAAGTGTTGGATATTAGTCAGCCATGCCCAAAGATAACCACATAAAATGTACTTATTGAGTACTTGAATTACAACAATGGTATTAGAATGTAAATGTTTTTCAAGGTTTTAGAAGACATATTGAATTGGCAACGCTTGCATCATGAAACATGATTAGCTCAGAAATTATACTTCTAACAAACAATCTGCTTACGCTTTTTACCTAAAACGTTCAGTCTAACAGTGGCATAATAAGAGTGAATTCAACCCTAAACAAATAACAAATATGCGTAAAAGTGCCTCAAGTAAAGAAAGACCCAAAAATCAAAACTATGAATTTGCAATTTGCACACAAGTAAAGCCTGGTCAAGATATCTTGATAAACAAAAAAGGTTTTTAATCAAAAACCTAGTTTTCGACCGATCGTTCCTATGGCAGATATAAAATATCCTGAATGACAAAAAAATTTTCCATACAAAAACTTAATTTTCGACCGATCGTTCCTATGGCAGCTATATGATATAGTGGTCCGATCCAGCTAAAGACATATGTGCTGCGTGCAACAGAAAGAGGGACTTCTGCAATGTTTCATTAAGAAACTTTTAAAATTGAGAAACTAGTTATACCCTGAACCCATTAAAAATGGGTATAAGGGTATATTGTATTTGTGCGAAATCCAAATGTATGTAACAGGTAGAAGGAAGCATCTCCGACCATATAAAGTATATATATTCTTGATCAGCATCAATAGACGAGTCGATCTAGCCATGTCCGCCTGTCTGTCCGTCCGTATGTATGAACGCGAGGATCTCAGAACCTATAAGAGCTAGAGACTTGAAATTTTTTTTTTGCTCCTAGTTCCCGCGCAGAGTTTATTTCCGATAATCGATAACTTACTTCGTTTCCAAGCAATCGATAAAAATCGATATCGATATCCTATTTTTTTTTTTTGGCAATTTTGGTAAATAATAAGAGCTAGAGTCACCAAACTTGACATATAGCTTTTAAAAAAAATATACATATGCATTTGATGTTGAAGGAAGAGGGTTCAGGGTATCCCCTAGTCGGGAGCTCCCTACTAGAAACTCTTACTTGTTAAAAATAATTTGTGTGACGCATTTTCATCAATCAGATATGTATAAACATACTTTTAAGAGCAGCATATAAAACAATCATACATAATATACAAACTAATTATATTGCCTAACAAGTAAGAGGTTCTAGGTTCTAGTAGGGAGCTCCCGACTAGGGGATACCCTGAACCCTCTTCTTCCAACATCAAATGCATTTTGGAGTTTGGTGACTCTAGCTCTTATTACTTACCAAAATTGCCCAAAAAACAGGATTTCAATATCGATCAATTTTTATCGATTGCTTGGAAACGGGGTAAGTTATCGATTATCGGAAACAATCTCGATCTGCGCAGGCACTAGGAGCACCTACATAAAAAATTTCAAGTCTCCAGCTCTTGTAGGTTCTGAGATCCTTGCGTTCATACATACGGACAGACGGACGGACGGACAGACGGACAGATAGACAGACGGACCTGGCTAGATCGACTCGTCTATTGATGCTGATCAAGAATATATATACTTTATGGGGTCGGAGATGCCTTCTTCTGCCTGTTACATACATTTGGATTTTGCACAAATACAATATACCCTTATACCCATGTTTAATGGGTTCAGGGTATAAAAATATAAGTGCTCAAATCAATTAAACAAAGGCTACTAAACGAAAATACTACCTAGCTACAATTTAATACTCCAACATCGTAAGCCTTCATCAGTCTGCGATATCGTCACGTTTAATCGCAGAGCTGACAGTGTGCAATTAGCTGATAAGTAGTGAAATAAACTGATTCACATTAATTTGTATTTTTTTTAATTTTTTAACATTCGCTTGATCGTTAGGGAATTTAAACAACGCATTTGAAATATTTATTAGCTGATTAGCTATAAAAGTTTCTAATAAAATGTCAAGTTTAGTTGTAAATAGTATCGTCTACTTAGATATATTAACATAGTTGAGGTAGACAAGCAACACATATGTACAAGTTACGTTGGCTTTACCCAGCGTTGGTACGATGTTAACAACATTGAACAAAAACAACTCTCATGCCCCAAACCTGATACTCGTAGCCCGAAAAAAGCCTTGAAAAGTTATCAATGATTTGACATAAAACTTGAGCGACTGAATTGCACACTTTTATTTATTTCCAATAGATTAAGTGTATGATTAAAAAACTAACCTCGGTTACATAAACTGATGTTTCGCAAAAATAAAATTAGTAAATATAGTTTAGAAAGAGGATCTAGTCTGTACTTTCCGACTAGGGGGTACCTTGGGCCTCTTTTTTATCAACTTCAAATGCAGGTCGCAAATATACTCAGGAAACCAAGCGAACTGCCACAACCTTTAGTCGACAGCCACATCAACAATTTATTTTATAGCGCAATTGCATTTGCAACTTTTAAAGTGTGTATGCATTTGACTGTATGTACGCTAATGTTTACAGAAATGCTGTAATTTTCGGTAGTTGTCACAAACACTTCGATTGTCAATATAACCACACAATTTCTTGATTAAATGATGTGTTTCTCAATCGATCTTGGTGAAATTTCCAGCAGTTAATCTTTGTCTGCGTAAGAATTATATTCATAAAAAGACAACATTAATATTTTGGCTTAAATTTGCGGTAGTTTGATTTGATTTACATGAGGTGGAGGCAGGAGGTGGGCATCTGTAAATGAAAAATTGTGGATTTGTATATACTATTCAAGAAGCTACATGTCAAATTTGGGATCTTAGAAATTAACTAAAAAACAGGCATTTATAAGAGACAAACATCTTACTACGCGGAGTCTAGGGAGACTTACGTTAGGAATTTCAATTCTCTTGCTCTTATAGGTTTTACGATCGAGAACATAAGTATTTTATAGGGTTGGAGGTGCTTCAATCTGTGAGTTCAGGGTATAAACATTGAAAATAATCTTAATTGACTTTATTAACAGGGGCGGTTCATACAACCATTTTGCTGATAGAATTTTCAAATTTGCTGAAATATGTATTCATTAAGTTCTTAAGTATGGATTTAAAATTAAGTTTCACCAAGTTGAAGAAAACTTAAAACTGCTCATATAATTTTTGAATCGCATCTCCACCGAGGATAATACAAGTTTCAAACGATTTTTCGTAAAGATGATTGGATATGAATTTGACGCGAAAGGACCTACCAACAACTGTGAAACACCCTTCAAATGAATGAATTCAAAATCGAACAATGATTTTTTAAAATCAGTTTGACAAAAAAGTTGTTATAGCAATTTTATAAGATGAAGAGAAAATTCGTTGTAAAATCTATTGTAATCTTTGCACAATACACGTGCACGTTGTTAGAAAAAAAAGGCGACGGACTTAAGTAATAACAGACATGTACGCTTAGTATTAAGTAAAGCCTGTTGGAAGGTCCAAGCAAATGCTGCGTTAGTGGTCTTTCTCGGACGTTGTACTGCTTTTAACTGAATTTGTACGCATTACGTAACTGCCCTTAGACATGCTGTTGAATAATCTAGGTGTTGTTTGCTGGGCGTAAATAAAAACTGTCGTTATTAAGAACAGACTCTAACTTGTTTCTCATGTTCTAGATGTTCTGATTGTCGAAAGCACGGTGTGGCTAACTCCCTTGGCTGCAGTACTACGTAAGTAGACTGTGGTGCGCATATGCACGATTCGGAAGGCTTCAATCATACTTTTGAAGATATTGGATATGAATTGGCGTTGTGTCACATTGACCTCGGTTACTCCAAACTGGTAGAAGACTTTGCTTATTAAAAAGTTCACTACGCTCTTTTACCCTGGGTACTTCCCCAAGAAGTCTATGCAAAGATTATATAACAGTCAATATTTCTTTTTCCAGATCGACTGGCATGGCGAAGTTCGGCGTCTGCTTTCCTTACACTTCCCGAAATGTCGTATTCAATTTCATACTCAACTTGCCAAGCCGAGCCAGTAAAACTGACGGAGCAAGTTCCCGTCTACGAGAGCCTTCGTCATCAGACCGGTTGTCAAAGAATTTGGCACCCACAACTTTAACACTGTGCCCTGTAACTCATCTTCTTGGTGACCAAACCATATGTGCCTAAAAAGCAGATCTTTCTCAACCTCCAAATTGGTCCTTGCCGTTCTCCTTTTTCGACATTTGCGTGAGGCCGCGTTCGCGAAACCTCACATAACAAGGGGCGGAATTTTAGGGCTTACGTGGCACTGGGATTCCCTTAATCGCTATAACTCGGCCGGTGTTCATACGAAGCAGGCCCCCATCAATATTAAAGCCGAGGTGCTGCAAAGCATTAAAATAGATTTTGAATTTGTGCAGTCCGATGGAGAAATTTGCTTCCCTTAAGTAGGTTAAATTAGGTCGGAAATCTGAGGAAATAACAAGCAGGTCGTCCTGATTAGCACCTAAGTAACACCTACCATAAAAATAAGCTCCTCGAAATCCAAAACAGCTGGGCCAGCTTCTCTTAACATCCTGTTCCTAGCAGAATCACGCTCGCTTCTTTGTTTAAGACCTCTTTAGATATGCGTACCCATGAGTGAGATTGTATACCCTTATATTCATTTTTTATGGGTTCAGTGTATAATAAGAAGAAACTTGAAAGCTATTAATTATTGAAATATCTTACATTTACTATGAAAGATTTAAGGGCGCTTTCAAGTGAGCGGCAGGGAATATACTATTCTAGAGTAAACATATCGCTTTTGGCGACTCTAGCTCCTATTATTTACCTGATCCAAAATCCGGGATTTCGATATAGATTCTTATGGAAATGGATTCTTGGAAATGGAGTAAGTTAAAGATTATCGAAAACAAACTGCTCATGGACTAGGAGGACCTACAGCTAACATTTCAACTGTGTAGCTCTTATAGTTTCTGATTGCCTCTGTAAGCTGGTTTATGAAATGTCACATTTTTAAATTCCACATATTGGTGTTCCACAAGTACCGCTTCTTTAAATAAACAGCTGATCGAGTTGCTTTAATTTACATAAAAATGTTACATTTTCAGAAATGTGTTAAGTGGACAGAGGCTATAAGATCCTTGCTTTCATAAATACGGACGGACGGACAGACGGACATGGCTAGATCGACTAGGCTGTTGATGCTGATCAAGAATATACATACTTCCTTCTACCTGTTGCATACATCTGCACAAATACATTTTAACCTTTTTACCCTTTTTCAATGGGTTCAGTGTATAATGAGAAACAGAAATTAATTTGTTTGAAATTGTAGTAATTACAAGGTATTAAATCTTCTGGCCTTCTTCCATTATTTTACAACGATTTTGGGCTATTTTAAGACTTTTTTGGTGGTATTAACAAGTGGTCTGCCTTATCTAAGTGCTCTCGTGACGCTTATTACGTAACAGGTAAACTGCTTTAATCAAAACAGCACAAATACTTACATGTGTTGTACTTATAGAGATATTTATTCAAAGCAATAGGAGGAAATACCCAGCTCATATTCGTATAATAATAGTAATTTAAACTGTAAGTGACATTGAATATTTTAATAATTTCTACCAGCCTTATGTTAGATCATAACAAGTAGTAAAAATTCTTACATATATGTTTTGATAAATTCGGAAAGCCCGCACCGCTTCGAATTTTTTTCTTCAAAAATATTATAAGTAGAAACACTTCAAAACACACTGAGTTTCTACATAAAGGGGTCGCGACTCAGACAAAGTCATTGTACCAACAGGTAAAATGTTGGTGCTCAATTGGCGAACCTTGAACTTGTTAACGCAAAAAATGCAAGGTCATGCAATCAAAACTTATTGTCAACAGTCAAAAAATTATTTTCTTGAAATAATCTAAAATTGCCTCTAACTAACACATTGCTGTTTGCAAAAAACGTTCCGTTTGCCTGATTTTTTGTTTATTTGTTTTAAAAAACTTTTATAAAAATGTCTACAATTTTAGATCAGCGTTTTTGTATATTTTGAAAATAATATAATATAATAAATAATATATAATATAATTAAAAAGTTTCAACTAAGCCCGCAACAATCAAAAGATTACAGTTCTTTAATATGCTAAGGAAGCGCACTTGCCTCTTTATACCCTGAACCAAAGACAATATAAACAATATATAGAAGTGTTTTTTACCTGAACCCATGTATTTGTTCTAAATGTATGTGTATGTATGTATGTAACAGGCAGAAGGAAGCATCTCCGACCCTGAAAGTATATATATTCTTGATCAGCATCAATAGCAGAGTCGATCTAGCCATATCCGTCTGTCTGTCCGTCCTTTCGTATGCAAGAATCTTAGAACCTATATGAGCTAGAGACAAATTTAAGATGTAGGTCCTCCTACTGCCAGCGCAGAGTTTATTTCGCATAATCGATATCTTACTCCGTTTCCAAGCAATCGATATAAGTCGATACCGACATCCTGTTTTTTGAGTAAATTGGGTAAATTATAAGAGCTAGAGTCACCAAACATGATATGTTGATTCCAGAATATTATATATATGTCAAGTATCTTTCATTTTATACCTATCGCCGCTTCCCCGCTACCACCCCAGAGCTATAATTCAAGTTAAGAACCCAAATTTTATTGCCAACCAATGTAAGCCACAATTTAAATGTAATTGACTTTTTCAGAATACACAATTATACTATGGTACACTAAGATATACTGTAGAACATTTCATAAGGATCGGTTAGGAAAAAACTAAAGTTATGTGCAACTGCGCAACCGGATGAGGCAGGAGCTTTAAGAATTTCTGTACACATATACACACATTAATGCCTGACCGCTTCGCATTCTATCGCATGCTAACGCGATGGTAATTGGGACTTCCTCTGTAATGCTATTGAAGTTCCTTTTTTATCACGAGTAATTGTCTGTTGGTTTGGCTGTTGAGTAGAGGCATGGCTAGTGGTGCGGTCTGTTGCGAGTTCGAGCCCTACCGGGGAAAGTGTTTTTTTTGCTGACTTGGCTGTTGAATAGAGTCGACAGCCAGGCAAGACAACTTTTTTTTTAAATTTATTTGGTGTTATAATAAGAGGGTTCAGGGTATTCCCTAGTAGGGAGCTCCCGACTGGAACCTCTTACCTATTTATACTTCGGCCCATTAAAAATGGCTGTCTAATCATTAAGATCGATGTGTTGATAGTTACGGACACACAGACTGACGGACAAACAGACCAAATACAAATATGATTTTTCAATATTATCATAGTTTGCAAAAACACACACCCCATTTGTTAACTTTTTTCAGGGTATAACTCTTTTAGAAGGTTTATAATTATAGGCTTGAAAGCAGACATACTATCCTGAAATTTCTTCTACCAACACCAAGCGCGTCTCGTTTGCACGGGAAAAAATTAGACAAAAATGACAGATCCCACAGCCGTAGTCGAACTCGCAGCTGCTGCCTGCAACCAACCAAACTACTTACCATCGCTTAATACCAGACAGCCTATTCTCCTGTGCTTACTGTTGCAGTCAAGTAGACTGTCAATATAACCCCACATTTTCTTAAATAACTTCTGTTTCTTAACCTATTTTATAAAAAACTCGCATATTCGCAAAAAGACAACATCACTAAAATTTAGACTCAATCTGGTTATTCCAGTTAATTTATTTATTCGACTTTGGGCGAGCTTTTTAAGTTTAGGGGATATGCTCATAAGCAGCATTTCAATATCGATTGGTTTGTAACGGGTTGTTATATATTCTTAGAAACAGACTCAAATCGTACTTCCCTTTTAGTAGGATCTACGTTTAAAATATCAATATGCTTTCTTCTTTGCACAAAGCCGCTATACCCTCTTCACATATTTTCGACGGTTTTAGGGCAGATAAAGCTAAGCCGATCTAGCAATGAATGCGCACATCAAAATAAATTGAAGAACGGAAATTTTTTTGACCAGCATAAGCTTAAATGTACATCCTTTTACGCGTAATAAAAACGAGAAAGAAGGGCTATCTTCGGCACGCCAAAGATCTAATACCCTTGCAGACCCAACCTTTTCATAATGCCCACAGTGCTTTGCCCCTATCTAAGAAGTACCGGGAAAATGGTAAATGCCGAGTTTAGTCAAGATATCTTGAAAAACAAAATGTTTTTTCATACAAAATCTTAATTTTCAACAGATCATTCCTATGGCAGCTATATGATATAGCGGTCCGATATTAATAGGATTTTGCACATATATGAGGAGTAAAGTAAAACTAGTAAATGCCGAGTTTGGTCAAGATATCTTGAAAAACAAAATGTTCTTTCATACAAAAACTTAATTTTCGACCGATCGTTCCCATGGCAGCTATATGATATAGTGGTTCGATCTTAATAGGATTTTGCATATATATGAGGAGCATAGTAAAACTAATAAATGCCGAGTTTGGTCAAGATATCTTGATAAACAAAATGTTTTTTCATACAAAAACTTAATTTTCGACCGATCGTTCCTATGGCAGCTATTTGATATAGTGATCCAGCTGGTTTTCACATATGTGCTGCGTGCAACAGAAAGGAGTTCTGCAAAGTTTCATTAAGATAGCTTTAAAACTGAGGGACTAGTTCGCATAGAAACAGACAGACGGACATGGCTATATCGACTCGGCTGTTGATGCTGATAAAGAATATATTTACTTTATGGGGTCGGAGATGTCTCCTTCTATGCGTTACACATTTCACGACAAAATTATACCCCCTGCAAGGGTATAAAAATTATGCATATTTCGGACGACAAGTGAATGGGAAAGCTAACGAGAACATTGTTGCATACGCGTTGCTATGGTGTTTTAGCCACACATCAGGCGTTCGCAAAGACTAATGACTGGTGGCGCAAACTTATTCTTATGCATGGCGAGCAGATTGTCAATGATAGTCCGTAGAAATATTTTGGAGCTTAGCTTTTCTTCCATCTCTGATATATAAATCATTAATATAGTGGACACGCTGAACATTGCAGGTCTTGTGGTTGTATCGTAGATTTTCTATGCAAGGCCCTTACAAGTATAATGAACTATAACAGAGCCATCAAATTCTGGATATTTTAAAATGGGATGTTAACTTATGACTGATTAAAGATTCTCAAAAGCATCAACTTACTGTGACTCCCTTTGATTAATTGCTGAGCGTTTTTGTAAGTATCGTATGGTTGGATAGGCTATTTTGGAAAATTCTTTAAAATATTTCCTACGAAAGTGAAGTTATTTTTAAATGCTTTCAGTTTTGGAAAGAAGAATTTATTGTAAAGTAAATAGCGCACTGGACACGACCGTGAGAAATAAGAACAGCTTAGTTTAGAAGGAACCACGAAACTGAATTATTATTCGTTTCGTATACATCGTACACTGCCGCTCAGTTGAATAGCGCCAATTAATTTTTCAAAGTAAAAATATGATATCTCAATAAAAAATTACTTTCAAGTTTCTTTTTCATCTTTTTTTTTTATTTTAATTAAATATTTACCAAATAACTGAAGATAACAACAATATTTTACTGAAAAAATATTTTTAAAAAATACTGCTTAAATATTCGAAATTCATGTCACCACATCACACACAGTTGTCGAAAAAATGTAATTATAGTTGCATATTTGATACTTACTGACTCAGCTAAGTAAGTTTGATACAATATAAAA